TTATTGAGGTAAGGCTTAACTTGAGTACATCTTATTTTCTGTACTTTACACACTTCTAGCAGAAGACGAGGTTGCTACCACTGTTGAAATAAGGTTTAACCTGTATACGTCTTCATTCAGTGATGTATACACTTTATACAGAACTGGAAATGACTATTATTGTTTAGGTAATGAAATTGTACAGTTTTAATACTTGAGTTCTGCATGTGGTAGATTGAGCAAGGAAAGAAAAGTTTTTGTCTTTTTCTGCACTGTTTTCACCTCATCTTCTCTGCTTTGCTCATGGCAAGTTTTGTGCAGTATTTAATGAGTGATTTAAAGTTGTAACAATTTATGTTAATAACTGGATATGTAGCTCACTTTGTAATTAGTGAAATATTTATATACACATGAAGGGCTGAACAGCACCTTAGGAAATACGTTTGCTGAAATACTAGATAAAAGAAATTTTTGTTAAAAATTCTGTTTGTTTCTTTTGGTTTATTCCAGTATACTGATAAATAGTACAATTTCTTGTGTTAAAATTCTGTTGTTTTTGTTGGTTACATTCCAGTGTACTGATAAATAGTACAATTTCTTGTGTTAAAATTCTGTTGTTTTTGTTGGTTACATTCCAGTGTACTGATGAATAGTACAATTTCTTGTGTTAAAATTCTGTTGTTTTTGTTGGTTACATTCCAGTGTACCCACAATATTATATCCAAAGTTATAGATTTTATCCAATTCCCCACACTACTGTACATCAAGTTCTCCACAATATTCTATCCAAAGTTATAGATTTTATCTAATTCCCCACACTACTGTACCCCAAGTTCTCCACAATATTCTATCCAAAGTTACAGATTTTATCCAATTCCCCACACTACTGTACCCCAAGTTCTTCCCAATATTCTATCCAAAGTTACAGGTTTTATCCAATTCCCCACACTACTGTACCCCAAGTTCTCCACAATATTCTATCCAAAGTTACAGATTTTATCCAATTCCCCACACCACTGTACCCCAAGTTCTCCACAATATTGTTTCTAAAGTTACAGGTTTTATCCAATTCCCCACACTACTGTAACCCAAGTTCTTCACAACATTCTACCCAAAGTTACAGATTTTATCCAATTCCCCACACTACTATACCCCAAGTTCTCCACAATATTATTTCTAAAGTTACAGGTTTTATCCAATTCCCCACACTACTGTAACCCAAGTTCTCCATAATATTCTATCCAAAGTTACAGGTTTTATCCAATTCCCCACACTCCTGTACCCCAAGTTCTCCACAATATTCTATCTAAGCTCTCTGCATTATTTTACTTTTACATAAGATCCCAAAATATTTTACCCCAAGTTTCCCAAGGAATTCTACCCAAAACTCTCCATATTATTCTACCCCAAGTTCCTCATACTGTTCAATTAAAGGTTAATAGGCCAGTTTGAAATCTAGATACATTGTATTAGCTTTGAGGAATCGTTTTAGTGTTTGAATTAAATGAATTATTATAAAAGGTCTCAGTCCTGAAGTATGTGCTGAATTTCTTATTTTTTTTATGCATATTTTTATTTGTTGATGGTTTTTTTAACAAAAGTAACTAAAATGCAAAAATTAAAAACTTATTAGATTAGATGAAACAAAATAAACTAACTTTTTTTTGCCTCAAGTAACACAAAAAGAGCATATATAATTAGACACTGCATTTTACAACCTGAAATTATATTAACCCTAAACATTCAACACTCCTGCTGGGTGGTTTGTTACAATTTGTGGTACTTAGACACAGTTTAAAAAGCAATAAAATGATAAGATTAAATGAAAGCAGTTGTGAAAAGTTAGGAGGACCAAAGATTGTAGGAAAAATAATTGTAACTGTATGTTAAAATATGCAATCATTCTATTAAAAAAGTATTTTTTGATTTTACTTCAAATTTTTAAACTTTCACTGCACTTAGTATTAGATTAGAGAAAATAAAAGACATAAAGTTTTACTGACAAAAACTTTCGATATTTATTTAGGAGGTTCTAGTGATTATGAAAATGAAATATGAAACTGACCTTTCACTCAGACTAATCAAAGACTAAGTCAGACTGAATCAGTAAATTGACAGAAAACAACTACAGTACAAGTATTTTAAAAATCATAACTTTTGTATTAAATATACTTGTAATGTTTAATAAAAGTTACCAAAGATACACTTAGCAAACTTGGAATTATAGGAAATATTAGTTCATCAATACATGATTGCTCCAATGAATTGACCCCCTGCATGCAGGATTAATTGATTACTAATAATACTGAAAAAAAAATTAAATGATTGCTAATAATTTTGAAAAAGCAAAAAAAAGTGCTTTAAATATTAACACATCGTAGCAACAAAACAGTATAGAGGAACATGAGAGTTTGAAGAATGCATTTTTCTAGAAAATCTTACATCTCTCATCATTTTGACAGCTTCTCTGAGCTTCCCGAGTTTTCTTGCACACATCGCCAATCTTCTTCTAATATACACCAGCACATTCGTATCTCGTCCTGCAATGTCAAAAGTACAAGAGGATCAACAATATGCTAATATTAAATCAAATCATTGAATTAAAATCCTCTTTAGTTCTAATGATGAGAAAAGACAGGTACTTACTCCGCAGAGCATCATATTGGGCTGTTTGATGTTGTAGTTGCTGACTTTTTCTGTACTGAGTTTCTGCAACTTTTAATGCTTGCTTAAACAACTTTTCTGCCTATAAAACACCAATGTTTATCAGTATACTGGAATGTAATCAACAAAACAACAGAATTTTAACACAAGAAATTGTACTATTCATCAGTACACTGGAATGTAATCAACAAAACAACAGAATTTTAACACAAGAATTGTACTATTCATCAGGTATCAAAGTTACATAATACATTTTCATGTCTGTTTTCTTATGTTGTGTGCTTTTATGATATCAAAGTTACATAATGCATTTTCATGTCTGTTTTTTTTATGTTGTGTGCTTTTATGATATCAGTTCAATGACATTTTGTTTCTAGTAGTAACACCAAGTCTTGTGTTGGACACACAAACTATACCAAAATATTATTTCAAGAAATTTTTAAAAATGCTTTCCAATAACATTAATAACGTGTATTCACAATAAACTCAAAGTATTACAAACAAAAGATCAACTGCCGGCTAATTCATTTGGCTAATTTTGAAGTAGAAGTAGTCAAAATGTTTCTTGGCAAACCCCTTTAAACAAACTCCATTTCCATGTTTCTATTCCACTATTATTCTACTCAATGTTCTACAAACTATTTTATCTTAAGTTCCCCACACTACTGTACCCAAAGTTCTCCACAATATTCTATCCAAAGTTACAGGTTTTATCCAATTCCCCACACTACTGTACATCAAGTTTGTTACATAATGCACTTTCATGTTTGTGTTTTATGTTGTGTGCTTTTATTTTGGATATCATAAAAGCACACACCATAAAAACAAACATGAAAGTGTATTATGTAACTTTGATATTATAAAAGCTCACAACATAAAAAACAAGAAAGTGAATTATGTAACTTTGATATCATAAAAGCACACACCATAAAAAAAACAACATGAAAGTGTGTTATATAACTTTGATATTATAAAAGCACACAAAATGTATTATGTTTTTACTCTGGATTTACAGTTAATCAAAGAGTTTCCCATGATGAACGTGTTCAGTATTCAGGAAAATCTGATTGAGGCTTTACTGGAGATGCAAGCATATGCTGATGTTCAAGCTGTTTTGGCCAAATATGATGGTGAGTTTTTTTCAATACCTTCCTGTAATACCATGAGTAGCGACTCCAAATATATGTCTACGTGTAAACTGTTAGAGCATCGTTTTGACCGAGGTTTCTATTTAATAGGGTTTTCTTACCTATACATTGGATGTGATGTTAATTTGCAACTAACGTGATTGTGCTGGTGGGTCAGTATCTGTCTGCTACTAGTACAATCATGTTATGTATTTCCATGGTAGTTGACATGC